TACAATTCAATTTAATTCAATTTAATTTAAATTTAAATTCAAACGCGTAGTCAGAGGTATTCGAGATATGGATACTGATTTCCTCCAAGCAGATCCAGTAAACACAGTGGCCGCTCTAATGTTTAATGAATTACTCACAGTTTATACTGTCTCGTTACGTAACTTAAGTGACTTTTTCATTACAGGTGTCGTTACGTAACTTAAGTGACTTTTTCATTACAGGTGTGTGCTTTTTCATTACAGCCTTCAGATTCGGAATAATTTCTGTTCTCTACTTTATATCCCACACAGTAAGTGTGTACTTACGGAGAACTTGAGCCATGTTACTCTGTTTAAATATATTCAACCAACTCCAATTTCACTGCCAATTTTTTCTCCCATATAAACAGCACAACCCCTTTTACCTTAAGGGATGAATTTTGAAATAATAATAATAATATTTGTATAGTTTTTTTTTTCATTTTAAAGGTAAATACCACTTTCCGTGCATTAATTACAGATTTTCATACGAACTTTCATCCCCCATTTTACCCCATTATGGAATTGAATTTCGAAAAATTCTAAAGAGCCCACTTATTTAATTGTATCGAAGAGAATTAATTAATACCAAGTTTCAAGTAATTCTGATCATAAATATTTTTTTACCCATATAAACTTTATTACCCTCTATTACCCATTTAATGGATGAATGTAATACCTAAATATATTAATAGTTTTTAACTTAAACCTAAATACCACTGTATGTATTTGACATTAAGTATGACAGAGTTTCATACAAACTTTAATCTCGTACCCAGTTAGCGGATGAATTTCGAAAAATCATTTCTTAGCGGATGCCTACATCATATAAGGAGTACGTCCTTAAAATTTCCCGTTCCTTCGAGCAGCGGCTTAGGCTGTGTGTTGATCAATCAGTCAGTCAGTCACTTCACTTATATACAGGGTATGCCAGAACATAACGATAACCTGGCATCGGGAGAAAGGGGTTCTTATTTCGACTACACAATTTATGAAATGGATCATCTATCGGAAAAAAATAAAATATTATTTTATTACAGAAGATGTACATACATGTGATAGCATTTAAAAATCTCGTTGAAATGGACCATCTTTTGACCAAACTTGCCTGCTCGGCTTAGTGTATTATTTTTAGTACGAGTAGTCAAAGTTGAGTGATAGTAATTTTAAAGTAAATTTAACGATTATTGATGATATTTTAATTACTGGCTTCAGTAGTAAGGGTAGAAATTAGAGAATGGGGAAGGTATTAAAATGTTCACTAATTAATCAAATGATAATTACATAGTTTTAAGTGCATGGACTTTTTTTATTGTTTAGAGTAAGCAGTTACAAGTGTACACAGTAACACCAAATTTTTTGTTTAATTATCAATATTTCAGTTCGTAGAAGCAAAAATTTGAAAAAATAAATATTCGTGAACTTTGTTGTTATTGATGATATGAAAAAGTTGATGAAGACTTTTTTATAGGATTTTAAACATACTACAAATTTGCCATATAACATTTTTCTGTAACTTTTACAGTTTAGCTAAAAAATGCAAAAAACCATAAATTTGAACTTTAAAGCTATATAACAAATCAAATATTGAAGATAGAAATTCGACTCAATGGAACTTTTTGTAGTAAATTTAATACTAAAGAAGGTCCATTCACTCATTTTTTTGAAAAATATTTTGGTCACAGTTTGCAGGGCAAAAAAGTATTAAAATCCATGTTTTCCATGTAATTTGTACGGGAAAACTTAAAATTCAATGGAGAACCTCTTAGAATTGGATTTTTTTTGAGCTCCGCTTTTAACAGGAGCTTTGTTGGGACATTTTCTGAGATATTTTGGGTTGTGAGCGAAGAAAAAAAAATATCGTAATTTTTTGGCACAACCTAATGTATATATAGATCATTTGTTCATGATATAGATATATTTACATAGATAGCATGAAATATTAGTTGAATTAAAAAAAAGAAAAAATCTATTATAATTTTTATTAGATTGGTAGATAAACATATGTATAAAATAACATATTTTAGCACCTCATCGTAGGGTATATGTTAATTATGCATTCATCCCATAATCCATATACATAAGAATAAATATTATAAATGCGAAAGTTTGGATGGATGGATGTTTGCTACTCAATCACTTCAGAACGGCTGAACGGATTTGGATGAAATTTGGCACAGATACAGATAATAGTCTGGAAAAGCACATAAGCTATTTTTTATTCTGGAAAAATGTACGGTTCCCGTGGAATAGATTTGTTTTTGTTTTTCACAGAACAAGCGATCGACTATCTATATCATAATAACCGTTAAAATGTACCTAGGTATGAACCCAAGCAAGGGTGAGAAGTATAAAGCATAAAAGGGGCATGTGTATTGGTTGAAAACCGTAAAAAAATTAGAGGTATATAAACGAATGAAGTAAGTTAACAACTAACAAAAAGCGCATTATTATATTACTTGGGTTTCCATAAAAAATAAATTATTACCCTTGATTCTGTCGCTAAAGTAAACGTTTTTCCTCTTATTAAGTACAAATGCGTTGGGCTATTGATTACGCAGTATAATAATATACATAGCTATACACAGTATAAGTATATGAAAAAGCATATTATACTATTTTTTGTCTGTCTTCTACGTAAAATCCTCATACATAAATACATATATAATCGTTATAGATCGTCAATTTTCATAGTAATATAGAGTGTCAGTGTGGTAACACATACATAGTTTCTTAAAACCAGTTTATTCCTAATGTTAATATTTTGTTTTTAAAAAAAATACACGTGTAAATAATAAGGATTTTTAAGAACTGCAGGTGTTTATTTAAAATACTCCATAAAGTTCTAAGACATGTAAGTACACCAAAAATGAAAGATATTCCTATTCAAACCCCATGGAATTAATTTAAATAGCTACATGACACAAATATAAATTAATTAGCTATTTAAAAAAGAATTGTGTGTTTAAATTTATTTTGAATTTAGATTACGTCTCGAGGGAGAGACGCCATCACGACATTCATTGGAGATATGTGACTTATGCCCGATTTCACCAATAACCCATAAGCTACCACCTACGTATGGGATCCCTAGATTAAAATTTCCCTAAACTAGCCCCTAAATTAAATTTCGTTTTACCATCGTCTTTAAGCTCATATTTCGAGCACCTAAATTTAGGGGGCCTTTTAACATTTAGGTGACCCCTAACTGTCGGTGAAACAGAAACTGTCCGCTAACAGCCCCCTTACCACGCTTAGAGGATCCCTTAAACTTAGGAGACGTTGGTGTGTTATGTATTGAGCATTGAATACTTTATTATTTGAGCTCTGATAACGCCCACAGGATTCGTTAGCACTAAAGATGATGTTCGTAATATATGGATAACACGACACATATATATGTATATAAATATATATTAAATTATTGACACATTATTAATTTAGTAAAAAAATACACTGAAAATGCCTAAAATGAATAAATTGTATAACAAATTGTGGAGTTAAGTCTAAAGCTAAGCTATACAGAATTATTTGATTAAAATACAAGAGAACACTTTATTACGATACTATTGCAATGTGTCCCCAAATGAGTCTAAGTGGTCACTGTTCTCGTTTAATAATTTAGACATTCGGGAAACTGGCGAGTTAGAACCCGAGACAGTTCTTCGGAAAGATCTATTAAGAGGAGTATGCTGGTTTGCGACGATATCGAGTGGGAACGTTGAACTTAAATTTCGATACCAAATCTGGATTATCTATAATATTGGTAAGACTTTAATATAAATACATTAATGGCCAATTTCACCAACGTCACCTAAGTTTAAGGGATCCCCTAAGCATGGTTAGGGGGCTGTTAGGGGAGATTTTCTGTTTCGCCGACAGTTAGGGGTCACCTAAATGTTAAAGGCGACCTAAATGTATGTACTAGAAATATGGGCTCTGACGATGGTAAAACAAAATTTAATTTAGGGGCTAGTTTAGAGGAACTTTTAAGCTAGGGATCCCATACGTAGGTGGTAGCTTAAGTGATGTTGGTGAAATCGGGCGTAAGTCCAGCAAATCTCTTCTTTTACTCAGGGTATGCATTTTGAAATATGCTAGAATTTAATTTGCTGTACAAACAGAGTTCTTTGGCCTTACCCAGAGGGAATGCCAGATGATATAGAAATCGTCTTTGTATCCTCTCTATTCTTAGGCAGTGTGTCGCATGCGCCCTCCATACTACGCTACCATACTTTAAAACGCTTCTTACTAAACTGTTATATAAAATTATTTTATTGCGAGCGTGTTACATAATAATAACCTTCCTTGAGCTTATGTATGTACTATATTATCTATACATATAATAAAATTGTAACTAAGCCGAATCTGTACATTCAATATTTTTTGGAAAATCTTTTTGAAATAGACATTATTATAGATACAGAGGCCGAATCTATAGTTTTTAGAATTTTTGTCTGTCTGTCTGTCTGTCCGTCCGTCCGTCCGTCTGTCTGTCTGTCTGTTATCGCATCACGGAAAATCCACTAGAGGGATTTTGATGAAATTTGGTATGGTGATAGCTGGTTATCCGGGTCAACATATAGGATACTTTTTACCGCGGGAAAATATCTCATTTCTGAGAAAAAATATAAGAACTGTATAATTTAAGAGTATACTAATATGTAAAACCTAAGAATTTGATTTTTGGTCATCTGAACGCGGGCGGAGCCGCGGGCAATGCTAATTCTATATACTTGTAAAAAAAATGTTAATGGGATAACTTTAATATATATATTTGAAGATTAGTAAGATAAGCCGTGCGCGGTTCGACTTTGAAAAACTTTAAATACGGGCAATTAGTAAAATATTTTAATTATTTTTTTTAGCCTAGTGTTGATGGCCTATTGAAATGAATTTAAAGTTATTATTATATACTTTATAATTGTATTTAAAAAGACTGCTTTCAATTTTGATTGTGTAATTTGATTTCAGCTTAAAAAATGATAAGACCTCTTTCCAAAGCGCTGCAAGAGAAAGCGGAGAAGGAATTGTTTGAAAAACCAAATAGAACTCCATCAGATATCCTTGCACTTAGAGAATGGCTGAAAAAACAACCACATTTACAATCAGTTAATCCAAGTAAGTCCTATTTTGCTTTTAACTGCAACTTAACTGTCCGCAAAATAGACACAATAGTTAAACAATCGAAATGTTCTTAAATGACTCATGGGACAGGGAAATGGTTAAGTAAAGGTGCGAGCTATCTTAACCATTATTATGTGCCAAAAACATTTGAATGCCAATTTTTATCTGTTTGAAAGTGTTGTATTTTATTTATCTTAAGGCTCTTTATTTTACACGCTAGTTTATATATGGGTGTATTATGTTTGGTAGTTGTGGGCTTAATGTAAATACTTATAAGCTCGCAGTTTAAGCGCCATGCAAATGCTGATAGGTGAATCATACGAATATTTTAGTTTTATTTTAGCGGATCAACTGTTAGTAGCATTTCTAAGAGGAAATAAATACAGTCTAGAGAGATCTAAGGAAAAGCTGGATATGTTATACACTTTGCGAGCAGTAGTCCCAGAGATATTTCGAGATAGAAATCCATTCGATCCTATTATACAAGAAATACTACAATTAGGGTAAGTATGTTAAAAATCAATTTATATCTTACATAATCTTATTTCTCTTCAATTTAATACCAAACATCCTTCAAATATATGAGAAAAAAAGATTTAGCGCACAACTTATACGCGTAACTATTTTTTTTGATTTCAATTATATATTATAATATAGTGATGGGCCGAATGTGGTTTGAACCGATTACGAACTTCGGCCGAACATTCGGCGAGATTAAAAAATTCTGCCGAAATTCGGCCGAACTCCGGTTCAATTTTGCTGCACTTTCTCAAGTCACTTCAATATGTCGTATCACTACTCGTCGTGACACTTTTATAATTAAAAATACTTAATATTTCTGAGTGTTTAGATTGTCAACCGAAAATGTGATTTTTTTTTAATTTACAAATTGTAATTTACAAGAATACTAAGTTTATTTCATTTTGTCTATTTTATTAGGCAAAGATATTTGAGACCGTCAAATGAAGAAGAACTAATTATTTTTTTTATCCCATACGTGTTAATGTTTACATACTCCGATTTAAAATAAATGAACATGTAAACCTATCGGAAACCGTTGATTTTTAATAGATTTTTTAAAACTAAAACCTGAAGTTTCACGTCTCTAAAACGTTAGCAGGTGTACAAGGAACAAAAATCTGTAAAATCAAAATTCAAAAGTGGATTTTTTTTAACAAGATGCGATTTTTCTTTTGTTTATAAGGCTTTTCGAATATACATTTTAAGATTTATTTCTTATTTAATTAATTTTACATAAACGTCAATTGACATTTATTTGAACACTTCTTTGCATAATTATTTTATCAGTTTTATAGTAAAATTATCATTGCCCGCGGCTCCGCCCGCGTTCGGATTACCATAAACCAATTCTTAGCTTTTCTATATTAGTATACTCTTACATTGCAATTTTTGTATTTTTTTTCAGATATGAAATATTTTCCCGCGGTAAAAACTATTCTATATGTTAACCCGGATAAACAGCTACTACATACCAAATTTCATGAAAATCCTTCCAGTAGTTTTTCCGTGATGCGATAACAGACAGACAGGCAGACAGACAGACAAAAAATCTAAAAACTATAGATTCGGCCTCTATATCGATAATAACATCCAGCTACCCCCGAGAAATGAGGGGATGAAAGGCGTTGAAAAATAGTTTTTTTTTTCAATTTCTGGCTTACTGTGACGTTCTATCGAAATATGTTTTCCACGAAAGTTGTAGGTCTAGTAAAAATCTACAACTTTTATATATGACAATTTTTACAATAACCTCTAAAGTTTTCGAGTTATTGCAAAAAAACCGTTTTTCTATTTTTCATGCTTTTTTTATTTTTAATTTCTGCCATAATTTTTTGATTTTCATGAAGCTAGGGCAATGTAATCTTGGAAATATTTATAATAACAAAAAATTTTTTAAATTGAAATATTTAGCCGTTTCCGAGAAATTGATCTTTTATGGTCTCGGGAGGCTGAAAATCACCCCCAACTTTGTACAGTCGTCCTGTAAAAACACCCATAAAATTGGAAAAGTGTAAGAAATCGATAATATTTCAATTTAAAAAAATATGTGGTTATTATATGTATTTCTAAGATTACATTCCCGTAGTTTCATGAAAATTGAAAAATTAATGCAGAAATTAAAATAAAAAATCAAGAAAAAATTAAAAAATGGTTCTTTTTTGTAAATATCTCGAAAAGTTTGAGGTTATCGGTAAAAAGTATCATCTATAAAAGTAGTAGATTCTTACTAGACATATAACTTTTTGAAGAGAATATTTGTCGTAGGAAGCCGGAAATTGGAAAAATCTATTTTCCAATGCTTTTCAACACCCCCCCTTTTCTCGGGGGTACCTAGATATCGAAGGCATTTTATGGATTTTTGTTCTTTATATACCTGCTAACGTTTTGAAGATATAAAACTTCAGGTTTTAATTTTTTTGTTTCCAAACCGGATTTCGATCGGACTAATGGGTATGTATATAAAATCTTTATTTTATTGTTATGACAAACATGTTTTTTTTAATTTCAGTCAAAATAGTGCAACTAGATATTTTTTTTCTATTGCCCAGTGTTTGGCATTTGAACCGAATTTCGGCCGAATGCCGAAGTTCGGCTCAAGATGTCGAAATTCGGTCAAACCGAATGCAAAACGAATTTCGGCCCATCCCTAATATAATAATAACAATACGAATATCTTGTTAGCCCATTTTAGGTCACGGTAGTCAATCTCATTATAACTCATATACATAAGAGGTCCAATGGTGTAATTAGTAATATATAAAATATGAGTTTTTGCTATGATTCATTTAAATAAAATTATTTATGTAAAGAAAAATTTAAATATTCTATTCAAGGTCGCCGTTAATGACTACAGTAATTTATCTTCTGTCTTCTCTATAAAGTGGTTTATTCAAGTATTCAGCTCGTTTGATTACCTATGCCTACGTATGTAATTGTATATTGAGTATTGGATAATTTCTAAATTAAGAATTCGTAAAATTATAAAAAATAAGAATTTCAATTGGTTGTACAAAATGTGGGTGTATACTGTTTATTAAGAAAAGTATTGCATACGATGTTGATCGAATATTCCTTGCTAGGGTTTCCCTATGTACAATAATTTTTGCCAATTTTTGAAACAATTAACTTATTACTAATACTATAAGTTGACTAAAAAAACTTTTTAACAAAAAAATAAAAACCGACTTCAACAAAAGCACTAAAAAGTAAAAAATAACTGATTGGTAGTTTTCATTTACAATACATACCTAATCAAATATTTTCGAAGTCGATGCCAGCCGATACAAAGCAAAGCACAATCAGTATTTGTTTTACTTTTTAGTGCTTTTTTTGAAGTCGGTTTGTACTTTTTTGTTAAAAAGTTTTTATTTTTCCCTTTTTTTCCCTTTTGATGAATTTCTGAGGTAACAAACATAAAAAAAACATACAGCCGTATTGAGAACCTCTTCTTTTTTGAGGAAGTCGGTTGAAAAGAGAGACGAATTCACTAAACTTGAAATACAGACATCTTTTCAAAGGAAACCATGTTAAGTTTAATCTATGGACAGCTTCATTAAAAATGAACGTCGAACGAACGTCGAACGTATGAACGTGTAAAAACTTGAGTCAAGGCATTTGATGCGTTGAGACAAGAAAAAATATTATATATTTCTTATATTATAAAAATCTCTTACGTCTATATATACATATAAAAAAAGGTAACTGATTCGAATCTGTACATTAAATATTTTTTGGTAAATCTTATTGAAATAGTCATTATCGGTACAGATGCCGAATCTATACTTTTTAAAAATTTTGTCTGTCTGTCTGGGAATCCATCACGAGAATGACAGATTTTTATTAGGTATGATGATAACTGGTTATCCGCGTCAATATATAGGACACTTTTTACTGCGGGAAAATATAGCTTGTAATATATAATGTTCCGCATCATGCCATATCTTCAAATTTTTAGGTATATTTTTTTAAATAAATAGATAATTAATAGAGAAATTAAACTTTAAAATCAAGTTTATTACAAACGGAAGTGCAAAATGCAATATTTCTCACATTTCTTGATTAAGATAACATTAATTTCAGAAGATAAAATATTATGTATATTTTTAGAATATTTCTACCGCTTGATGATTGCATGGCAGAAGATTCTTGCAGAATAGTTAGTTGTAGGTTTGGGCTTTATAATCCTTCTAAGCACAAAATGAGTGATGTTTTAAAAGTAATATTTATGATTTTAGAAATACTCATTTTAGAAGACGATAATTACGTTATTGCTGGAGAGGTGAGATTTATTTTATAAATTTTATATAGATTTAAGAACATTTACGATTACTAATATTTGTGGCATATATTTTAAAACCTTTATATCAACAGTACTTATGTAAAGCATTGTGGGCCAATGTTCTACAAAAAATCAGACGTATCGTTGAAGATCCGGAAGGAACGAAGTTTCTTTCGTTGTCTACCCTTTTTTTTAACGTTGGGAAATGCATTTAGTCACGAAGTGTGGGACTCACCGACAAAGCCAGTACTACCGACTAAACCCCAACAAAACCTTCCCCCATCTTAATAGGGCGTCGCAGGATCGCTTACGCATTCAACTACAAAACTACAATTAGGTCATAAAAATTGTCACTAGTACTAGGGTATCATAAACATCAAGCAACGTAGATTTCACATGTTGAAGAGAGGACTGCAGAGAGTGCGCATAAATTTTTTATAACACACATCCCTTAACACTTATGATCAACTGGTACTTATGATGATGTCACATTAAGCGCTGCCCTTAGCTTATAATATCTGGTGACAATATATGTCAAGAGTACCTACTAGGGGACCACAAACTTCAAAGAATGTCCGTCATATATGTATGTAGAGAGCCGTTATAAGAGTGCAGACGATTTACATACTATCTACATCGTACATTACTTAACCCTCATGATCGCTTGATACTTATGATGCTGTCATATGGGTATTAGGCACCCCATCAGCATCAGCATTATCTTAGTAAGTAATATAAAGTATCGTCGTGATGGTTACAAAAATGATGGGTACAAAAATATTTAAAGAAAAATAAAAATAAAATTTCACTCGTGATTTTTTGCACTGTGATTGTTAAACGAAATAAAAAATATATATATCTATACAGATAAATAAAATTGAAGTGTCTGTTTGTAATGTCAAAATAACAGCGATTTACTAAATACACATGAAGTTATATTCGGTACATATAAGAAAAATAGATTTTTTTAATTTTTTGTCTGTCTGTCTGTTTGTTCCGGATAATCTCTGAAACAGCTGGACTGATTTTGACGGGATCTTCATTGGAAGATAGCTAATGTTATAGGGATAGAAAAAGAGTTAGGGTCTCAAAAAAATTAAAACGTACCTAGGGATGAATCCGATCGAAGCGAGGGTGAGTCGCTAGTCCAAAATATAGTAAGTGATACTCAATTTAATAATTATAATTTTTATCTAGCTATAATAATTTTATTTTCGTTTATATTTAGATTGGATTAACAGACATGAAGGGTGCAGGATTCAATGCCTTCTTGCAGTTTACTCCTGCGTTAGCTCAAAAACTTGTAACTTGTATGGAAAAGGCCTTCCCATTGCGGATGAAGGGAGTTTATATACTACATACCCCATCCGGCTTTGAAACTGCTTTTCAGATACTCAAAACGTTTTTGGGGGATAAATTGAGGAACAGAGTATGTATATAACTGCAGTAATTTTTATATATTTTTAAAATAAATTATTATGTGATATTTTTTGAATAGTAAGTAAGCCCCATTAGAAAACAATAATAAAAATTCATTTAACTATTACGATATAAGACCATTAGCATTTGTAAATATTTCTGTTATATACAATATACATAATATTTTATATTAATCTAAACTAAGTAAAATAAGGTAACAATTTAAAATATAGCATACCCAATAATTTCATAATTAAAAATAAAGTTTAAGGGGAAATAATAACTACTAGGTATATGTTTTTTTTTATAAATATGTTGGGACATTAACACACAACACCATCTAGTTCCATGGTAAGCTACGAGGCTTGTGTTATGGATACCAGATAGTTGATACACTACACATATATATGTGTAGTGTATAAATATATACATATTATAAATATAAACACCCATGACTGGAGTACAAACATTCGCGCTCATCACACAAAATGCCCCCAGCGGGACTCGAACCCGCGACCGCTGGCACAGCAAGTAGGGTTACTATACACGGAGCCAGACGTGTCGTCTAAACGTTAAAACGCAATATTTTTACAGTTCCAAGTAATCGGTCAAAATAAAGAACAAGTGTATAGCTTCTTCCCTAAAGAAGTTCTTCCAAAAGAATATGGTGGAATGGCAAGGTCATTGGACGAATTAACTGGTAAAGTATAACATAAAATTTAATTCATTTATATATTGTATTTTGCACTTCTCATATTGAAAGGTTATAAAAACTTTTTAACAAAAAATAAAAACCGAATTCCAGGCACTAAAATGTAAAAAATAACTAAACGGAGGTTTTCATTTAGAATAGATACCTAATCAGATTTTTTCGAAGTCGGTGTCAGCCGATGCAAAGCAAATCTAATATTTCGATACGTAAAATATATATTTACCTATTATATATTCATATCTTAAAATATTGTTGGCTGGCACCGACTTCGTAAATATCTGATTAGGTATCTATTCTAAATGGAAACCTCCGTTTAGTTATTTTTTACATTTTAGTGCCTGAAAGTCGGTTTTTATTTTTTGTTAAAAAGTTTTTATTTTTCCATTTTTAGTGTAGACGTAATAAACAGGAAATTTGTAAGAATAGAGTTTTTTTAATAACATATTCGATTAACCAATTTATTTAAAAAAAATATTTTAAAGTTATGCCATAGAAAAAGTAAGAAAGTAATAAATAGTCGTTAAGTTCTTTATATTCGACGGCAGCAGTTCCCACTTAAGCACTTAGTTTAAACTAGATTCATTAATTAATAAGTTTGACGTTTAGTTTTGTTTGTATATCATACGAGTATGTACAGTGAGAGAAGCAGACACGTGATTTACGGTCGTGACACAAAATGCACTGAATATGTTATATGTAAATAATATTGTCTTGTTGATCACACTTCTCTGTGATCCTCCTCATTTCACCTCTTAAAATTTATTTTATCCGAACCTGAGGATGAATATTGATCATCCATGTTTCATTAACAGTTATAAATAATACTAAAAATGTTATTTCCCATTACAGTTTCGTGATATGTATGAAATACGAATTTTAATAATATGACCGTCTGTCTGTTTTAGTTTACTGGAAAGCCAAAGTGGAAAGCTATCAAGATTGGTTCCTGGAACAGGATAAACAATACTCGGATGAATCTTTGAGACTGGATAAACCTAGGACATCATCTACGTTGTTTGGTGTTGAAGGCTCTTTTAGAAAGTTAGAAGTCGATTAGTACTATTGAGTTTCCAGACTAGCCGAAAATATTATCCGATTACGTCAAAATGAAGAAGAAAAACAAAGAGATTTATGTTATTATTTATAAATATTATTAAAAGTATACGATCTGCCTTCTATGTTAAATTCTGTTTTCTGGGTTGTAAGACATTTTAAAAGAAAAAACTACAATGCTGTCTCTATGTCACATTTTATGATTCATAATTTAGCAGTAACTAACAGAATTTTATATAAATAAGAATATTAATACTTTCTTAGATTTACGCGAATATTTGACATTTTAAATAAAACTATCTTTTCGGATTTTGTCGCGGATTTATTTGGATTTTTGTTTCCCGACGTTTCGAATGCTTTACAGCATCCATGGTCACGGGAGAGACTGAGGTGTTACATGTCTTGAATGTATAGTTGTTACAGACAGCCTACCCACAATTAACAAAATGAAAATTGCACCAATTACATTACAATATTTTTTTAACTTTAAACATTTTTATAATTTTAATTATAATTGAATATGGAAAATTATTTATTTAATTTTGCTATTATTTTTATAATTATTACAATTTTAAAATATTAATTAGTAATCTATATTTAGTGTTGCCATTATTATATTTATAACCATAAAGAAAAATATAAAATGTAGTATTAATTATTAAAGCCATATAATTGTTCTATGTGTAATTTAAAAAGTTAAAATTAATTAAGGATAATAATTTTAATTTAGTTTGCTATTATTTAAAAAACAACTTACTAAGCAACACTATTAATATATACTTTTACAAATGAAAAATGAAAAATATTAGTCTGATAAGCTGTCATTTAGATCTACACAGTATGAACTTACTACATCTGCCTGTCTGTTATGTTTATATTTATTATTTGATTTTATTATATTAATAACAGGATCCCATGACGATGGTAGTACCCAGCCATCTTCCCTATTGAAATTAGGATGTTTTTTAATTTCTATGGCTTCTCGAATCATTCTAGGGCGATATCGGTTTTCTTTCGCCAGGATTTGAGGTCTATCGAAGCGAATATAATGGCTTGGGCGGTCCTGACTATGTTTGCAGACAGCAGATGTTGTATTGCGACGGTGCTTCACATCAGCTATGTGTTCTTTGACCCGGGTTCTAATGGATCTCTTTGTTTGTCCGATGTAAGAGAGCCCACAATCACAATCAAGCTTGTAAACTCCTGCATCTTGTAGAGGGATGTGGCACTTGACAGGTGGTAGAAACTGACTAATTTTCTTTGGCAGCTTGAAGTAAGTTTTAATTGAAGCTCGCTTTAGAATGTAGCCAATCTTGTCAGTGACGCCTCTCATGTAAGGTAGGACTGCAGGGACGCGCTCGACTGTGGCTGGTTTCACTCGGTCCCTGTGACGTAGGCGCGGCACTTGCAGCTTGTTGTCTCGCAGAACTTGCTTGACATGTTGCAGCTCTCCGGCCAGGTGTTGCTCGTCACAGATCCCGCGTGCCCTCTGAAACAAAGATTTTCCCACGGTAGCTAACTGTGAAGGGTGGTGGTGAGATTCACCATTCAAGTACCTATCAGTATGGGTCTTCTTTCGATACACAGTATGACTTAAGGTGTTATCTGGGTTACGTATAGTACGTGACCATGGATGCTGTAAAGCATTCGAAACGTCGGGAAACAAAAATCCAAATAAATCCGCGACAAAATCCGAAAAGATAGTTTTATTTAAAATAAGAATATTATTAAGGATAAGCAGTGGGGTTTTACATTTGTAAATGTGGCTGTATTTATCCTAGTAAATAAAATATATTCGAAGTTTTTTTTATGCTTTTAATTTAGATAATATTATTATACAATAGCTCAATCAACGGTACAACCGAAGATTTATTATGACTGTTATTTAACATAAACCAAAAGGACAATGTATCCTTTTTGGGCTGGTGGCTTAATTTTTGAAGTTATAGTTCTTTTGGGACCTTTAAAAAAATTATGACAGTGAAATTTGTACTATCCGCGCGCACACCGACAGCTAAAAAGCGACATGATGAAGTTAGCTGGTAACTGTTTGTTGCCACGGTAACCGTTGTTTTTGTCTGATAAATGATATATAATATATTCTTTCCTTGAATGATATTCTATCAATATGTGAATGTTTAATGCCTAATATGCCTTATATAATTATTTTATTAATTTATTATTCCTTTTACAAAGAGAAAGTTGTAACATACGGGATGAAAGCTTTAGCTATCTTTGTTCTATTATACTATTAGAAGTATGACTTCTTACGTGCCTACACACACACGTTTTTTTGTCAGTAATGATATTTAGATTATAATTGGAATACTCTGTAAGATGGTTATTAAAAGAACTGACTAAACCGTAACAAGCCATGTTGCAGTTGCTATTCTTTTTATAAGAAGTTGTATTTCGAATTTAAAAATACCTGAATATAAAGTCATAGAATATATAAAATTAGATCCTTTTATTACCAAAATTCTCTAATCAAATATACCTAGCAGCATGTGTATATTTTCTAGGAGATTGCCGAGTGATGTAAGCTAATTGAGTAGAATAAAGTATTTATTAAAAAATTACGCTTGATAAAAAAGAATAGCAAACACAATATTTCTTGATCGTTACAGCTGAGCGAGTTGGTTTCTTCTTAAATAGACTTCTTACATAGTCTTCCAGTTATTTATTTATTTATTTAGTTTAGTTATTGAATAACCAACAAACATTAGAATGGTTAACACATATAATCTAGGCACTACACTTAAAACACCCCCCTCCCCCCAATGTGCGTTCACCTTGTCGTGGTGGGGGGCCTCAGTAGTGCCCGGCAACCCAACCGGGCGCGAAGCTAAGAAACGCACAGGGAGGTTGCCCACTTCTGTGGGCGGTGGGAGGTGGCCCTCTTCGGAGGGCGGTGTACCATGCGGGTTGCTCCTGGTACTTCTCTGATAGCAGAGTGGACCTTGGAGCAACCCCATGGTTGTGGTGGTCTGCTTCGGCAGACCTGCCGTCGGGGCGTCGTAGTTGAATGCGTAAGCGATCCTGCGACGCCCCATTAAGACGGGGGAAGGTTTTGTTGGGTTTTAGTGGGTAGTACTGGCTGTATTACGCCGGTGAGTCCCACACGTCGTGCGTAAATGCATTTCCCAACGTTAAAAAAAAAAAAGGCACTACACTTAACATGTTGATTGCACTTTTAGTTATAGGTAAATACAGCATGATAATTATTATTAATTAAGTTTTTAAGTGATCATGTGGATTAAACTATAAGCTTAAATTATTAAAAAGAAAAAAAACAATTATAATTATTCCAAATAAAATGTCACTTAAATAAATAAAGATATTTTAAACAATACTTAATTATAAAAATAATAATAAACATATATAAACAGTTGCAATGTTACGTCCAGATTAGGTTTAAAACACTTGGAATAATATTAAAAATAGTGTAAATTAATAATAATTGATAAAAGTTACATAGAGTCATAAGATCATGTTTATTTATTATACGGCTCTATTATTTTAGTTTCAAAACTCTTGAGGGTGTCATGCAAGATGTCTAAATCATCAATTTCCAAGCACAGCATGTGATATAATTATTATTAGGTATAATTATTGGCGAAAATAAATTATGGTTAAAAGTTGCATACGCCTTTAATTTTGGTTAATACAAATAAAACATCGTCGGACTGTGCGAGGTGAGGCATTGGTGAGCGCCCCCGACTGTCACGTGACATTGGGACGTGACAATTGGGAGACAGATTTAGGGTTGACCGATATGATTGTAACTGGCCACAAGATGACACTACATTGCTTTAACTTCGAAACCATTCGCCATGAAAATAATTGATATTTTTTACATCCGGGTACTTTATTTTACAATAAAAGACCAATTCTGAATGAATTCAGCCAAAAAGATACAAGAAACAACAAAACGAGGTTATTCATCATTCGAAATCATATAGACTATTGTAAAACAATACGAACTTTGAACTAAGAATGTTTGATAACATGACAGTCAATAAGTTCAATGTACGAGTATAATCGTTGTTGCTCATTAAATTTTATACTATAGTATGTACTTATGTCTTGTACTGTGGTACTACGCACCAAGAAGTTGGTAATAAACCGGTTAAAAGTCCTGTCTTGTATCCTATACTATGACAAACTTGCAGTGTTTGCGGTTCTGTAACATTGTTGCGATTGCTATTATAATTGCTAAAAGAAATGCTATCACTGCGACTTGTTCAGTGCTGATATGCTGATAAAATAATGATAATATTATTTTTTTAGTTTGATAAAATAATAATAATCATCAAACGTTTAGCCTTTTCTTATATTGGTACCAGAGTGAAGTGATTTGAAATTCGTTCAAAAACTATTATCTTGTTTAAGATTTTTTATATATATTTTGTGTTTAAATAAAATGGAGATCAGGCCTTTGCCAGCGTTATTACAAGAAAAAGCAATTAAAGAAATTAATGAAGATCCAGACAGGATAGCCGTTGATATCAATGATCTAAGACGATGGTTTGAAAAGCAACCACATTTAGCTACTATAAAACCCTGTGAGTAGATTAATTTTACATAATATAATATAGATAGATAATATAATATAGATAGATAATATAATATAGATAGAAGATATAGATATTTCTTTTAATGATAAGGCTATAAATAGAAATTGTTTTCATTGTATTATTCGGAAATTGTTTTTATTTATATAATGTGCTACCTTTGTACTTTGTATAATACTTACGAGCAGGTGGTTTTTTATTTGTTTGATATTGGCGTTGATGTAAAATTTTATTTTTTAAATAACCTCAACAAAGTCAGAGAGCCATCTATTGACATATTTTGGAACTATTTACTCAGTTCTTACTAACTTTTGACGTTATATATGAACTTACAGTGAAGTTAAGAATGGGATTATAATAATATTTTGAAAGTACTATTTCATTTATATAACATAAATATACATTATTTTTCAGGTGATCAATGGCT